CGCTTTTTCCGGAGGATCGGGGCCAGTGTAGACGCTCTTTTCCGGCTTTTCTAAAAGCCGGAAAAAAGCGGCGGACATTTTTATTTAAATGCCGCGGGGGAAATTTAAATCCCCCGTGGATTTCCCTATTACGATCGCTGAAATTAACATGCCCCTTCCGGAAAAGGGGCCAATGTAGACGAGCCCGAGGAGTCCCAGGAACTGCAGTTTCAGGAAGAAACAGCAGGAGATTTTGATTGGGTGCCAGGTGCTCCACATGCTAATCAGGAGGCATATTTCTGTAAAATGGGACACGGAGCATATTCTAATATACAGATTTCTAAACCTGGTGGAGTGTGTTTGAATGGGATAAGAACTTTGCTGAGATTATTTCTGTTCTTTAGTTTTCTAAGTGTTGTGTGAAAACATTCCTCATCATGAGTGTGGGTGTGTAGTGAAGCGGGTGCTAATAAGACTGTACTTTTGGGGATCATTTCTATAGTTAGTAACTAGAGAAATGCAGCTGAAAGTGGTTGGTCTCATCAGCTGTGAGAATGAGTGATAGTGTTCTCTTCTTAGCATAAAGCAAGCAGCCAGTGTTGTTTTAATATCATTGTTGTCTGCTGTTGATGATTTTTCCTTTGTTCCTTTTGGGAAGTTGGAGGAAGAGAACACAAGCTGAATGGTTGGTTAGTGTCAAAGGCTGTATCTATACTGGCTACTTATTCTGGAAAATCAGCTGCTTTTCCAGAATAACTTGCCAGCTGTTTACATTGGCCATTTGAATTTCTGGAAAAGCACTGACGATCTAATGTAAACAATCAGCCGCTTTTCTGGAAATACTGTGCTGCTCCCGTTTGGGCAAAAGTCCTTTTTCCAGAAAACTGTTCCGGAAAAGGGCCAGTGTAGACAGCACAGTAGTGTTTTCTGAAAAAAAGCCCCGATCGTGAAAATGACGATTGGGGCTTTTTTGCAGAAAAGCGCGTCTACATTGGCACGGACGCTTTTCCGGAAAAAGTGCTTTTCCGGAAAAGCATCCTGCCATTGTAGACGTGTTTTTTTCCGGAAATACTTATAATGGAAAACTGTTCCGTTTTATGCATTTCTGGAAAATCATGCCAGTGTAGACGTAGCCAAAAAGTTCAAAATTAGTTTTGCAGTAGAGAGGAATGGGGATTTCACTTTATGGTTTTGTCTTGGCTTTTGTTTAATTTCTGGATTTACTTGTAGGCTACATCTACACTGGTATGATTTTGTGCAAATACTTTTAACGCAATAATTTTTGAGTTAAAGCATTTGTACAGGAGAGCACCTACACTGGCATGTGCTTTTGCGCAAGAGATGTGCTTTTGCGCAAAAGTGTTCGTGCCAGTGTAGATGCTCTCTTGTTTAAGAAAGCTCCGATGGCCATTTTAGCCATTGGGCTTTGTTGCACAAGAAATTAACGTTACTGTCTACACTGGCCCTCTTGCCCAAGAATACTTGCACAAGAGGGCTTATCCGTGAGTGGGCATTACAAACTCCGTGTTCTTGTGCAAATACTCGTGGCCAGTGTAGACAGGCGGCAAGATTTTGCGCAAAATCTTGCCAATGTAGACATAGCCGAACTGCTCTGGTCCTGATCCTGATGTTTTCATGCTTTTCTCTCACCTGCTGCTGGGTCTTTTTCATGTGCTTCTCACACTGGATTTAGCCAGCCCCTTGGATCTGCCTCATGCCTTGTCTCCCATCTGTCCCCTAGTGGCCCTGTGGGAGGCAGAGACTAGCCGCAGCCCAGTGTTAATTTTATCCCTTGGGTTAGTGTCTTTCTCCCATAACGTGTAGCTAAGATATTTGTTAGTAACTGGCAGGCGCTGCGGGGGCTCACCCCCAAACAGAGACACACGACCTCAATATTGGGGCACAAGACAAAACTCACCTGCTCCTGGAACAGGAACACTGACGAGCAGTGAGGCCCCTCCCTGGCAGCACCGAGCAGTGAGAGCTGAGTGAAGGGGAGGCAGGACCAGGGGGAGAAGGCTCCATGACTGTGTCAGAGGGAGGCTCTGTCCTGGCCAGTGGGGAATCGTTGCCTCTCCGAGGGGCCCAGGCCTGGTGGGTCATTTCCCCAGGTTACTGAGTGGGGGCTGGAGCCAGTTCTGGGTTGTCT